TAGTGGGGGTCAAGCCGACATTCAACTCCCCTCACTCCCACCCGCTCCCCTCTCTTTGATCCTCCTCGGCTGCCGGTGCTGCAGCGCCATCTAGCGGCGCAGACGGAGAACTGACACTGCTGCTCTAGGAGGTGGCTGAGGAACCTCTCACCTAGCGCAGCACAAAGCATGTGGTGACCCTCTCAACAGTGGGTTGTGACCCACAGGTTGAGGACCACTGATCTATGTGGTCAATGACTTATGAATCTGTAAACATTAAACCATTACAGGAGCTCCTGCGCTGGGATTACCTTGAGGCACGCGGTGCAGAGTAAGTTTGCTGTAAGTGACTTCGGCGTCGGCTGATTCTCCGGCAGCATCTGAGGCAGAGAAGAGACGACAATGACGCATTCTTCTGTGTTTTGGTCACACAATGTGAGATTTCCAGTGAGGTCATTACATGAGAAGGTCCTCTGCTGGATCTCACATGCAGTTGTCATCACAATGATTCCCCCTCCCCCATTACAAATCAGGTTTATTGGCGACATTTACAGACTTTCAGCTGTAGCAATGAACAAATCAAACCAAAGCCATTGAAATCGGTCAACACAACGAATGTTTCCCGTATTTTCCCAAAATTCAACCGAAAATACAACTTTTAGTGACTTCTGCAGTCTCAGAATGATTCACCCCCTGAATAGAATCCCTCACAAGAGGACAAATCTGAGATTCCTGAGAAGGGGAGTTGAGGAGAACCCCTCGAGTAACTACAGAAGAGCTGCAGAAGGCTCGGTGGCCCCAGGCAATGAGGTTTCAGTTTGCACAGTGAGTACTAAACATAGAAGGTTTCCATGCCGGAACTCCGAGACGTCACCACCACTGACCCCAAAACCACAAGAGAAGTTGCCTGAGCCTCCAATATCCTCCAAATCATATAAATAAGACGGAGAAGTTTCGGGATTCTGTTCTGCGGAGCGATGACACAAAACTGGAACATTGCGGCCCGATGGATCAGCGGTATGTCTGGAGGAAGAAGAAGCATACGAGGAAAAGATCACTCTGCCCACAGGGAAGCATGGTGGTGGCTCGGTGATGCTCTGGGGCTGCTTTGCACCCTCTGGCACTGGAAACCTGCAGCGTGTGGAAGACAAGATGGATCCATTGAAGTGTAGCGCGCTGTAAACAGGAGTGCTGTGAAATGTAGTTCTTCTCAGACTGTAGTTGGTCTGAGATAGATCTGTAGTTACAGTATGTTCCTCTCATCTCTTCAGAACAATCTGTGGATGCCGCATCTGCCTGTTGCTGGCTGTGTTTTTGCCACAGAGCAGCCAATAAGGATTGTTCTGAGCATTTGTGTCTCTTAGCCAACCACTGGAAGGTACAGGCCAGTGATGCATGCTGGGAGAGGATATAAATGCTCAGTGTGGCTGATGTAAGAGTGAGTCACGCCTGGCTCCGCCCAGTTGTTATTGTTTTATGACAGATCAGCATCCCCGGGTCATTTGGGGACGCTGATCTGTCATTACAAGCCGGCGGAGTCAGCCGTGACATCACGGCTGGCTCCACCCAGCTGTCATTTGTGGGGCTTACGGCCGGCCCTATTGGGAATAGCCCAAGCAGCAGCCCTTCAGTTCGACTGAACAAAAGGGCTTCGGCGAAGGAAGAGAGCCGAAGGATCAGCCAAAGCCACGGCTGGATCTTTCGGCTCCTTTGTGAATAGACCCCCTAAGTCATGTATATTGGAGAAGCTTCCTTTAGGATGCTGATAAGTAATTTCTACCACCTCCTAGTCCTCATTACTCCTTTATTACATTGATAATGGTCATACGTGTTGGGGGAATCTGAGGTTGCCGTCCTCTTCGTTGATGTGGACACCGGTGCAGCTTGTGTCTGTACATGAAGAGCAGGAAAGCGGCAACCAGGAGTGAGACCAGAAGAGCCGCCATGATGATCGGTGTGTTGTCTGTACGACTTTTCCCTGCAATAGGAATAGAATGATTGTTATTGGTGAATGAGAACGGATATCGGATATCAGGAGACGGACATTGGACACATGGAGGGGGAAGTGCAACTAAAGACAAAACTTATTTATCTTTGATGTGGACAGAGTGGTGAGGGGTCAGACCCCCTGTCAGATCTTATTACTCTCTATGATCCCCTCTAATGACACTCAGAATTTGTTACATTGTCACTCCACTAGGAGAGTTTAGATCCCTCCTCTGCAATTGTCATCACCAATGTCACCAATGAGGGATAAATCCAAAATCATATTCACCTTTTATCACAATCGGGGTGAAGTGACTACTTTTCCTCACCTTGCCATTCGAAGATCTCACTTCACAGGAATAACTCCCAGAATCCCCCAGCTGAGCGGACTGGACTCCATATTGATGGGAGGAACCGAATTCCTGAACATTCCGTCCATCTCTGTAGAAAGCAAATTGGAGTTGTGTCCCCGTTCTGAGCGGACTGAGACTCGTGTCACATGTCAGGGTCATGCTGTCATCTTCTAAGACTTCAGTAGCGCTTACATTTAGCACCGGGGTGGAAAACAGCTCTAAGGAGAAATATTTAGGAAAAACTCTCATTTTAGCAGGAATTAGTATTTAAATTCTGTAAAAAAAGAAAATGGTAAAATTTTTCTCTAATTATTATCAATTGGTTTTGCCCAAAATATCCAAAAACTTTGGAAAAGGCAATATCAGGTATAGAAATTCCATAAAATTCTGCTGCCCCTCCCTATAAATCTCTAGAAGCTTCCCCAGCATCTGCAGGACAGAATTGTACGGGTTGGGTGACATCTATAACTCTGCACAGGACGCCTTGTATCCTGAGGCTGGCGGTATCATTGTGATCTGTTCAGGAATAAATCATATTCACCTTTTATCACAATCGGGAGGAAGTGACTACTGTTCCTCACTTTGCCATCAGAAGTTCTCACGTCACAGGAATAACTCCCAGAATCCTCCAGCTGAGCGGACTGGACTCCATATTGATTGGGGGAACCGAATTCCTGAACCTTCCGTCCATCTCTGTAGAAAGCAAATTGGAGTTGTGTCCGCGGTCTGAGCGGACTGAGACTCGTGTCACATGTCAGGGTCATGTGATCTCCTTCTACCTCCGGATATTGGATTCCAATGATTGTTGGTTTTACAAACAGCTCTGCAAAGAAGGAGATTCAGGGAGGAACATATATGATATTCTTCTCCAGATAAATCAGAGAAACAAATACAAATATATATTCTTCTGTGAGGCTGGAAAACCTATTGGAAAGCTTTGTTGGAGCCGATGCTGAAGCACAACTTTAAGGAAAAGCAAAGAAACATGTGTGACATTGACATAAAATATTACAATAGTAACATTATCCGGCGTCATCCAGAAGATTTAGTAGAATCCCGGCACCTCAAGGACAGCCACATGTGTCAGCATCTATCATTCTGTATGAGACAAACTCCTTCTGCTGCCATCCAATTGGAGTTCCCCGCCTGCAGCTGCACATAAGCAAAGAAGTGATGGCATGCGGTGATGTAATTGACTTTATATGGCCACATGGCTACATTTGGCTAATGACAATCACCAATTATCCCCATGTGGCCATATAAGGTGGATGACATCAGCACAAGCATCCCACAGCTGACTTGGTGGATATCCCTAGATTTGTTATGGAGTTCATCCCTACTAATAGTAAAACATCAGTGTATTCTTCTCTTTCTGTTGGGTCCATGTAAGGGAATACTCTCTCACAGAATATCCACCTACACCGGATAACCCACTAAGGTAGAAGGACAGCAACGTCACCCCGGAGGAGAACATCAGATAACCATATGCCTACATCTTGCCAGTTGTGGTCCTGCCTTCCTGCAAGGGTCATCAGTGGATCTTCACTCTCTGATCTCTGCTACTACTCTGCTCACTGCCCCTCCTCCAATGACCCCTCTTATGTATAAATTATTGCTGGAGAGGGACCTCTAGCAGGTACTTAAGGATACTAAACCTTTCTCCATCCCTTCACCTGGCAAGGGGGCTGTACATGCCGCCATCTTTGATGTGCTGCCTCTATTCTGTCAGTTTGGGAAATTTCCATATCTGATAATAAGATCCAATATTTGGATTCAGGGTTTCATTTCCATCATTTTAAGCCATGAAACACATCGGCTGTTTCATCAAACATTAATTTTTTTTGTGGACTCTGAAATCTGATTTTGTCTGTTGGTCTTGTTTTCTGTCCGATCTCTGAGATGTTTCCAGTATCTCCCATTGGAGACTGAGCGTTGTTGAGCTGCCTGACCATAAGTCACCCCCCAGAGTCAGACTCAAGTTTTTACATTTAAAGTATTAAATCAACTAAAAATAAATCCCCCAGAGTTCACCTTTAAGGGGTATATTTATGAAGCAGTGAATAAGGCATTTGCCAAACATTCACTGCAGATGAATCTTCCTAATCATTGTTTTTGAGACAGTGAATGAGCCGGCTCAGGGAATTATTATGATATGTTGATCATCAGACACCCGAGTCTTCCGATTCTCAGAACCCTGTAAAAGAAGATGTTCAATACTTACCATTGTCCAATCTTCACATTCTGATGTTATAGATGGTATGTCCCCACTGAGTACTGAGGTCTCACCTGCTGGCTGTCTGCTATTGAGTTCAGCTTTCAGAATACATCAGCCATCCAACATGGAAGGCCCTAATAGAGACAAGCTTTGGCTGCACTAAGAAGTGAAATCTGAGAATTGCCTTCTTTCTGTACCGGCCCGGCAGCTGTAGTCTCCGCTAAACTCAGGTGCTGCAGATGTAATGGTGAAGGTTCTTCCTGTATGGATGACCCATTTACCATCTTTGATCCAGGTGTAGGTCAGATCTCCTCCTCCAGTAGACCCAACATCACACGTCATTGTCATAGACTCTCCTATGAAGATCTTCTTCCAGTTTGGGGTGAAGGTCACCACCGGGCTCACTGCCGATCCTGAAGAGGGTGAAAGAAGAATTCTAACTTATGTCATGTTCATTTCCAGCAATGTAATGTTCTAGGAGAGTCTAATATCAGATACAATACAAGGATCTCATATATAAAGGACAACTGAACTTTCAGACTAATTCAGCTAAATAACTTCTAGAAGAAAGTCACATTCATCTGGACGGTCCATCAAAACAAAAACTGTGCAAAGTTGGTTTTCTGTAGAATGCAGCCATGGCCTGAGTAGAGAAGCCTCTCCCCTGCCAACATGCTGCAGAGAAGGATCTTTTCTCTCTGTGGGGAAGCAGTGGTCTCTCTACACACGTCCAACATGCCCCCTTCTGAGTCAGAGCCAGACCTCTCCAATCAGCGGGGAGAATGAGCTCTTTTGAGTGCAGAGCTATAGGTAACACCAACTCTAGGAGGGACATCAGAGGGACCTTCTTGCACTTCCAGCCCCAGGGCAGACAAGGGCACCACCAGAAGGCATTAGTACCAGAGGGGTTCCTGCCTACAACTGCAGAGAAGCCCGGCATAACCAGGCCAGAATTAACCCGAGACTAA